CTTGTCCTAGAATTAAATGTTTTGTAGGAAATGTAGGAAATTTTTTATATAATGAATCTATGAATGATTTCATAACATTTCTAGGTATGTATCAGATCTTACGAAAGGACTATTTTCCTTTCATTTCATGATGTGTTTATTCTCAATACTGGTAGTTATATATTTGTCCACGTAATTGTATAAAAATGTCATTGTAAGTGTCAAGTTTACCAAATATGCTGAAGGTGCATGCAGCACACTGGAGTTATGACATTTCAAGAATAACAGAATTTTCTGGGGATCTTTGGCATGAGGTGCTAAACTCCACAAATTCAAGCCCCCCAAAACAATATTGCTTTCTAACACTAGTGATTACTATAACATTAGAGTTTAATATCCTTATTATTCAATAGCAGGAGAAAATATGATATGCAGGACAAATAGGTGGTGCAGTGGATAGAACTGCAGCCTGGGAGTCAGGAAGACCTGAGTTCAAATCTGGCCTCAGACAGTTGACACTTACTAGCTATGTGACCCTGGGCAAGTCACTTAACCGCATTGCCTAGTGAAAAAGCAAAAAAAAAAATATGATATGTAATGTTCATAAAGGACCACATCAGATAAGCCCCATATAAGGTCATAGGAAATACTAACTGATCTATTAAAAGCACTGCTTCTTTTTAGTGTGTAGACAATGTTTGGACTTTTCTGAAAATGGGAATGCTAGGTGACTTTATCACTTAACTGAAACTATTCCTGCAAAGTTACCAGTGATTCCTTAATTACCAAATTTGATATTCTTTTATCACTTCTCATATTTCTTCAAATCTAATGACTATGGTCTCCCCTGGCTAATCTCTCCTATCTGCATTTTCTTGAGATGACCTTCTCCTATGTTCTTTCCTCTTAACTGTCTCACTACCCCTCAGTTTAATTTGTTTGATTATTATCCCTAGGATACCTAGCTATGAGTGTTCCCCAAGACTATGTCTTGAGCCTTCTTCTTTCTTCTGTCTCTGTTTCTCTATCTCTCTGTCTGTCAATTTTTCTCTATAACTCTCTTTTTTTGCCTCTGTATTTCTCTGTCTCCATCTTTAACTATTTATCTCTATGAGTTTAACTATTATCTCTATGCAGATGATTCACTAACCAATTATTAAGTCTTTATTTCTCTGATGAGCTTCAATCTCACATCACCAATTGACTTTTTGACATTTCAAACAGCAGAATTTGGAAACATCTCAAAATCAAAATGGCTTAAATAATTATCTTCCCCTCCCCAGCACACACACACACACACACACACACACACACACACACACACTCCTTCTATTTATATTGAAGATGCCACAATTCTTCATGACCTTTACACAATTCATAACTAGGTGTCAAATTATTTTTTTTCCATTTTACAATATCTCTCATATTCAAAATTTTTTTTTCTACAAATACTGCAGATACTTTAGTTCAGGTTCTGATCATTTTTGGCCAGTGCTATTGCAGTGATGTATTAATTGGTCCTCCTTCTTTGATTCCTATCAGCCTCAAATGTGCCAAAGTATCTTTTCTTAAGGGCAGATCTGACCATGTCATTCATATATTCAATAAACTCTAATAGCAACATATTACCCCTAGGATAAAATACAAACTCTTTAACTTTGAAAGTTCTTCACAATTTTTCTCTTTCTTATCTTTCTAGATTTATTATATTTTACTTCCTATCCTTTGCTGAGAGCAGGGCTATATTATGAAGTAGTGGTCTTATACTCCAGAAGATAACTGTAACCAGCTCCTATCCCATAGAAAAGATAAGTGACTCCTGTACACACACACACACACACACACACACACACACACACACACACACATGCACACACATAAATCAAAATATGCTACCTCTACTATGTTCCAAATTCATGGCATAGGAGAAACACAAGCCCTCATGAGAACAGAATACCAATGTCATAAATAAAGAGTCAATTCTGACTTTATTTGATCACATGTAGTTCCTTCTGGTAAAAGTGAAGCACAGCTAAATAATTCAGGGCTGAATTTTTAGAGTCATAAAGTGATTCCCATAGCATGTTGTCCTAAGTATCTTGGGTAAATACAACTAAGCCTGACTTAAAGATTGAAGTGACATTACTGGGTAAAACTCCTTCTTTATAGAATTAGCTTCTTTACCCCCAAGAGTAATCACTTTTCTTTCTTTACAGAAACAAGTCCTTCTTGCTTATGATAACATCTGAGTGTTTTATTCAAGGTTATAATGGCTTGAACATTCTACACTGACCAAATGAAGAAAACTTTGCCTCCTGGAAGAAATATGTTACAGTTAATTCTTGGCTTACCAAAAGCAAATACTCAAACAAACTAAAAGTGGATATAAAAACACCAATCCAAGATGGGATATAATCTAAGAATGTTATAAAGTCTCATTAAATGTTTATTATCTCAAATGTGAATGAAAAGTTAATTGTTCCATTTAGTCATTAATTCCTGCACAATTATTTTTAAAGTGTTCCTAGGTTTTCTTAACTAGTTATGATTATATTGAGTCTATAAAAAACATATAATAGAGTATGCAAAATAGCTCTGTGAGAATCCAGATACATACTTATCCTGATGTACAAGCCTTTAGCCATGTAAGTAATAATAAATGAGTATGACTAAATTTCAATAATTCTCTATGAGTTGATAATTAAAAATTATTGTGTTCTGGTTGAGTACATTTTGAAGGTCTTCAAAAAAATATCACAAGGCATAAAAGAAATTATTTTCACTGCCTAGTTTTGTATACATTAGCACACATTTACACAGTAGCACTTCAAATCATTTCAATTGATCCTAGCAACAACTTTGTGAATATTACTAATAATATTGTGCACATTTTATATATGAAGAACCTGAGGACCAGATAAATTTCAATGATTTGCCTACAGTAATATAGCTAGTTAGGTTTTGGGCCATGATTGAAACCCAAGTACCTATATCTTCTTGACTCCAATGCCACTGCTCCATCCATCATTCTGAACTGTGTCTTTGAAAAGGATCAAAGATTCAAAGTTGGAATGAATTTCACAAGCCATTTCATTCAACTGTATCATTTTATAGGTGAGGAAACTTGGTTTCAGAGAGAATAAGTGACTTTTTCAAACTTATATAGCTAGCAAGTGGAAGTGGAAAAACATGTATATTTAAGGGATCATGGAGGAATTCAAACTTGGTCACTATGTTCTCTCTCTCTCTCTCTCTCTCTCTCTCTCTCTCTCTCTCTCTCTCTTTCTGAAAGCTTGCATTGAATTGTGAAGACAAGGATTTGAGAGATTTCTCATACTTTCCTGCTTAAAATTTTTAAGTTAAGTATAAGCCATAAATCCCTAGAAAATGGTAGTTCTTAAAAAATCCGAATTGTGGAAAAGACAAAGAAAACAGTTTGGATTGAAATATCCAATGATTTTTGATTATTCTAAGCTTAGCATACCCATTTCTTCTTATTTGCTTTTTCAACCCTGTTCTGTTTGTGGCTAACCCAAACAAATGTGCTACCAAAATCACTGGCACAATAGTAGGGTATATGTGTGAAGCAGGGAGTGATTGAAGGTAAAGGTAAATAGAGATGTTGACCCATTCTGCAGTCACCCTGACAGCATGTAAAGTCCTGAAAATTATTATTTCAAAACTTAGTAGATGGGGTGTTAGGAGAAAATCAAGTGGAGAATTTATCATAATGTGTAAGTTTATTTTGCATGTGTATGTATGTTAATTACCAAAATGATAATATTTGTGTATGAATACAAATTTTTCTGTTACCTAAATTACTCCTTGAATTCATCCTTCTTCCCAGAGCCATACCAAATAAAAGAGAATTTTTGCTGCTTTATGATACAGCTTGAGATGTAGAAATACTCTTTATCTCAGCTAGGCTAGGCCAGACTGTAAGAACAGCAGCCATTCATGGATCTGATCAATAGTAGGATCAGAATTTGAGAGTAACAAAGGCAATGTGTAGTGCAGAATGCTAGGCTGATCATAGACTTACACTCTTCAAGCTAAATACTTGCATTCAAGAAAAGCAGCAGCCCCAAGGCAAAATGACTGCCAGAAGAATTAGTGTCAACAGATTAAAGAGCTTCTCTGAGAGGGAACATTTTGTTGCTAACTTGGAGGGAAAGTTGAACCAACACACAGCTGACAACAGTGGAATGGAAAAGGATTGCGCAGCTTTCAGAGATTTGGTGTACTGTACTGCATTTGCTCATCTCGGTAAGAACACTCACAAACATTAGTATTGGTTGCATAAAAATGACAGGGAAATTCAGAAGCTGCTAATTGAAAAATGAGAAATCCTTAGGATTTACCAGTAGGATAGTTCATCCATCTCTAAGAAGGCAGCATTTAATTCCATCAAGAGTAAAGTACAAAATGTAAAGCCTATATCTTGGGGGGGGGGGAAGGGAAAAAAATTTTTAACTCAAAAGCATATGGAAAAAATTTTAAAAATTTAAAAAAAAGAGTAAAGTACAAGAAAAGCTTAGAAAGATGTAGAATTTTTGGCTCAGTAAAAAGGCAGATGGAATTCAGTTTTATGCCTATAGTAACAATCCAAAGTGCTTTTATGATGCTCTCAAGGGAATTTATGGGCCAAAGACCTATGATTCATGTAAACTATTCACTGCAGATGGAGTCACATTGATTGATAATTAATCCTAGAGAGATGGGCTGAATACTTCCAGAGAAGGGCTGAACACTTTTGTTGTGTTCTCAACAGATCGTCATCAAGCAATGCTGAAGCCATTGAGTATTTACCTCAGGTTGAAGTCAATCCTTCTCTAGCTTAAGTTCCAACTGGAAAAGAGGTTTTGAATACCATTAGGTTCCTTTCATTTGGCAAAGCACCTGGTGCTGATTCTACTCCAGTTGTGATTTACAAGGCAGGGGTACATTATTCATACAAAAGCTGACTGAATTTTTCTGGGTTATATGGCACAAGGAGGTTATCCTCTAGGAGTTCAAGGATACCTCCATCGTCCATCTCTATAAAAGGGAAAGGAAATAGGTTGTCTTGTGACAGTCAAGGTGGGGAGGTTGTCTCTCCTAATCATTGCTGACAAGATTCTTGCCAGAGTCCTCTTTAATAGGCTGATCCTTCGGCTGCAAGAGGATCATCAACCAGAGAACCAATATGGCTTCAGAAACCCTGAAGAATGGTCAATATGGTGTCTGCTGCCGGAAAACTCCAGGAGAAATGCCAGGAGCAGAACAGAGGTCTGTATACAACATTCATTAATCTTACCAAGGCTTTTGATATAGTCATGAGGTCTTATTGAAAATTTTGTCAAAATCAGGCTGCCCAGAGAAGTTAATCAGTATTGTATGGCAATTTCATGACAGAATGCTTGCTCAGATTGTGCATGAGGGTTGGTGTTCTTGTACATTCCCAGTCCGAAGGGAGCAAAGCAAAGCTGTGTGCTTGCTCCTATGCTTTTTAGCATGATGTTTTCAGCAATGTTGTCAGATGCCTTTAATGAGGATGAACCCAGCATCCAGGTCAGCTACTGAATCGATGATAAATAATTCAACTTGAAAAGGCTACAAGCCAAGACTAAAGTGGAGGGAATATTGGTGCATGATTTTTCTTTTTTGCAAATGATTGTGCATTCCTTACAGCATCTGAAGCTGAGATGCACCAAAGCATGGATCAGTTCTCTACTCCTTAACAACAACAAGAAAATACAGGTACTGCACCATCTGGCACCACACCATCCATACATAAAACCATTGGTTTACAACAAATGGAGAAGTTTTGAATGCTGTAGGAATATTCACTTACCTTGGTAATACACTTTCCAAGGATGTACACATTGATGATGAGGTTAATATACACATTGCCAGAGATAGCTCAGTGTTTGGGAGGCTCCAAAAGAAAGTGTGAGAGAGAAGAGATATTCGACTGATTACCAAACTGAACGTCTACAGAGTTGTTATGCTGACCTCACTGTTGTATCCCTATGAATCCTGGATAGTGTACCAAAGCCAGGCCAGGATACCAAATTGTTTCCACTTGAATTGTCTTAGGAAGATTCTGAAGATCACCTGGCAGGATAAGTTACTAGACACAGAGGTTAGGGTAGGGGTCTGCTTCTAGTGTGGAGAATGTACTGTCCCAAGATTCAGGGGTTTTGTGTAACTGTTTTCAGAGATACTTCTAGGGAACTGTAAATTTTCAATTCTTCCAAGGTAATATGATCAAGGTCCAGGTGAAAAATGTATTTTTAAAATAAAAAATAAAATAAAATACCTGTTGGGCAAGAAAGTGAGACAGCTTAACAACACAACATACATCAAAGTCTTCTGTGAACAGGGTGCTACACTATGTACAAAATACAGAAAGGAAAGCTGAAAACAGCCCTTATCCTTATGGAGTTTATAGTAACATAAGAAAGGAGAAATATAATAGGTTGTTTTGCTTCTAAATCGCTGAAGAATTTACATTGAGAGTCAATCAAAGAATGAAAAAAAGTGTGTCTTTTATGTCAGAAGATTGTCAGACTTTAACAATGAAAAACTGGGCAAGGGAAGGATATCATTTGAATGTGTGTGACAGAAAAAGGAAATGAGCCTATCATGTAACAAGGGCAAGGAATAATGTATAGTGTTTCATGTACTTTATTAATATCTACAATGGAAGATCTATAGTATGGGGCAGCTCTGAAAATATTACCTAGCCCACAGTCACAAAAGAAGTAATTATATCCATTCATTAAACATGATTAACCTTTGTATTGAAGGAAAGCTTCACCACTTCTTCCTGTTATCTTCTTTATTCTTTCAACTCCATGCATTTGAAATTTTTTTTCATAAAAGGATGCTTATTGTTAAGTACCCCTGCTTTCCTTAGATTTTGCTGTTTTGTTTTCAGTGGTTTCCATACTGTTATGGCTATGAAACTACTACTGGAGACATGTCATTAATTTTCTCTATTGTCAGATATAATTTTTATTTTAAAATTGAGCTTTAAATTTATTTGCATGTCTTGACTTTATGACCCTATTGGCTTAATGCTTCAAATAGTATGTTTATGAATAATAAATCTTTTAGTCTCCTTCCTAAATCCATCAATTACCTTCCCATTTGATTCTCTGTAAATATAATAATTAGTCATTGCATGTATATTAATCACTCAGAAGCAATATATGATGCATTATTTCCAGCACAGTAGTAGAAATCTCAAAGTATTGAATCAGCAAACCTATATAGAGGACTTGTAATCAGCTTTCATTAGTTATTTGATCAGACACAATTCTGCTTAGGGTATTAGAAATGAAACAGAAGCTTGTTTCACAAGGTTGAAGTGACCATGACAATATTTTCACAAATATGTTCATATTAATAAGTTATATAACATCACATATATGACAAAAGAGTTTTCTGTTTATGTGGAAAAAACATGCACAAAAAAGGTTTTGGTTTTTACTAATGGTTTACCATTGAAAATATATTCCCTGATATTCCATGGTAGTTAATGACACCAATATAATATTACAAATGTATCAATGCTAATTTCAACATGAGAGTAAAAGACGAATGGGTGTTTAAAAAATAGAACTATTGAAATATATTATTTATGAAGTCTAAAGCATATTATATCATTTTAGGTCATGCTATGGAGAATTCCATTGGAAGGAGACAAATACTTCCTCATTCAACACAGTAACAAAAGTAATATGGAGATAGAAGAGGGATTTCTAGAAAAGACAGATAACAATAAGCAGGTAGGTGTTAATATTACTCAAAATTATATAGTTGATAAGAGAGAATATTCTAAGAAATATTGATTGAAGGTAGACCTATACAAGATAATGTATGCAGCACATGACAGTAGTAACATAAACTACAGCTATTCAACAATTCAATTAAACCCAATTAAAATATTAGAAGAAAAATACCCTAAATCTCATCATCAAATACTTATAAGCACTTACATATTAGGAGCTGGTGATCAAAAAGATTTGTATAGAATGTTATCACTGTTCTCTTAAAGAATGTTTGTTTATGTGGCACATAAACACACATACAAAACAATTCAGAATATTACATACTTAATGAGGAAGGTATAAACAATGCAAAATGGAGTGAAAGGGGAAAGGGCTTCATGGAAGAGTAGGCATTTAAAATGGACTTTCAAGTATATGTGGAAATTTACTAAGCAGAGAGGTACAAAGAAAAAATAATCATCTTGTTCTAGAGAATTCTAAGGACATATGTATATCCAAAGAAATGGAATCACTACTTAAGAGATTGAAATGTGGCCACAAAATCAGATATTCTTGCATCCACTCCACTAATCCAGTACATGCTCAAAATTATTTGTATGAAGCTTTGTTTTTCATTACTATAGAGCGTAGTGTCAATTAAAGAATGCACTTATTAATAAAAAGATACAAATGGACCCCAAGGGAAAATTCTAGTTAACCAAAGTGAGATATTGAGAGAAAAATCAAGTCAAACAGTGTGGATACAGATAGATAATCAAAACAGAAAACACATTTCTTCTGCAAAAAGTATACATTTGGTAGGTCTTTTTCTGTATAACTTTCTTAGTTTATCACAGCTATTTTGTGAAATTGAGAGGTCCTGATTCCATTCAACAAGAATTTTTGATCTACTTACCCATAAGTATGTCAAAAATCTTACACTCTTTTGTAGTGAAACAATATATACATAGATACATAATTAAATACACACAAATTAATTTCAAAGGGGGAGGACATGCATCTACTATAAACAAGTGCTTAAGAATGAATTGATTAATGAGTGAATGAATGAATGAAAAATAGCTTTAGTGCTTACTACATGCTAAGAACAGGGATAAAAATACAAAAAAATAAAGCTGTTCTTCCCCTCAAAAAGTTTGTATTCTACTGATTGAAACAACAAACAAAGGTGAGTGGGGAGGGAGGGAGTGTTGTAGAAGGATGGTGAATAGGACATAGGGGAATAGATTGACACACCCATTCTGTTAACAGTAGCAAAGTTGATGTATAATGAAATATAGTTCCATTGCTGGGGCCTGAGTAAAAGAGCAAGAGTGGAAAAAGTGAGGATATGCGTGAAGCAAAGAGGAGATAAGCTAGAGCATAGGGAGTAAAATGATTAATGGTAGTTGGGGATTTTCTGCAATAGTGGAATCCAGGGAGTCAGTCAGCAATCAGGATAGCTGATCCTCAGGACAAGATTTTTTTTCCCCCAGAGTATCAAGGATGTTGGTGAAGAAGAGATGGATAGAACATAGGGAATAGGAATGAAGTTTTTGGGGCACAATACAAAATTATGGAAGAGTGTAACGGAGGCATTAGGGAGATCTGGGTGATATTAATTAATATAAAAGAGCAGGGGATATTAGCCAAAGAAGAGGACTTTAGTCTAATTTACAAATGAGAAGATCAAGGACATTGTCAGAGAGAAATATATTGTCACATCTTTTTTTTTCCATAAATGGTGATTGATTTGTATCAAAATTGAATGGAAAGAGGAATGTATGCAAAGTAGGAAATCAACAAAGTAGATATTGCATGACTAACTCTGACTGACAATAAGTAGAGGGATTGCAGAGTCCTTAGGAGAAAGGTCAAGCATGTATGAGGTATTAGGTCATCTCAACTCTGCACCAGAACTTACTCAAGTATTAGTTAAATTATCTCCCTCAGCAAGAATGGGAAACAAAAAAGTCTTGGTCCTTGACTTGACACTTTTGAGGGGGAGAGGTGGTAGAGCAGATATTCAGGCACTGATTCTGCTTGATAGTCAAGGTAGGGGGCCAGTGGAATTCTGGAGATTTAGGTATAGTTTCTAGAAAAGACAGTGGCTAGTGAATACTGAAAATGATTACCTTTAATTTGGTACATTGTAATTCACAGAAGGGAAGGCTTGTAATTTAACTTATGACATGTGGGAGGATAAAGAGGGGTGTCACAGGAAAAAAAAATCCAGATTATATAGAATCAAGGAAAAAAGGCAAATTACCTTTGGAAGCACTTTGATGAACTAGTTCAGGGTTGGGGGAATTTGTGGCCTCGAAGCCACATATGACCCTCAAGGTGCTCAGGTGTGGCTCTTCTGTGAAGTTTGGATTCAGTCAAAGGGCTGCACTTGAGGCTCTAGATGGCCACATGTGGCCTTGAGGACACAAGTTCCCCACCCACACCCTTGGGCCTGTAACCAAAGGAAATCAAGAGGAAGAGGGGGTAAGCATGTTTTTCATATGATTATATAGAGTTTTGATTTTTTCATCAAAAAACTACCTGTTCATATCCCTCAACCATTTATCAATGTGGATGTGTCTCATATTCTTTTATATTTGGCAAAATTCATCATATATCTGAATATGAGACCTTTATCTGAAAAACTGTCCATAATTTTTTCCATTTTTTTTTCTTTTCTACTGGTCTTAGCTACATTTGTTTTATTTGTACAAAACCTTTTTTGATTTAATGCAATCAAAATCATCAAATTTATACCTCATACTGCTTTCTATCTCTTTTTTATTCATAAGTTGTTCCCTGTCCATAAGTCTAATGGGTAATATGTTTCATGTTCTTCAAATTTTCTTGTAATCATTTTCTTTCTATCTAGTTTATGTGCCTAGATTTTTTTTTTATTTTGTCTTGCTAAATCGTGACCTGATAACTGCATTTCAGTGAATTGGAAATGTTTAAATTCATTCAGAATACTATTTAATACACCGCAAATGCATATTGGTCTATGCCCAATTTCTGCCAGAATCCTTTCTAGCTTTCTCATAAATTTTTACCAAATAATGAATTGTAATCCCAAAAAATTGCCTTTACACTTGTCAAACACAAGCTTCCTATAGTCATGTGCTGCTGTAAATTGTATGTCTATTCTCTTCCACTGATCTACCTTTCTAATTTCTTAGTCACTGCAATATAGTTTTGGTAATTACTATCATATAATATAGGTTAAGATCTCATACTGCTAAACCTCCTTCCTTTACATTTTTATTAGTTCCTTTGAAATTCTTCACCTCTTGTTCAGCTGCATTCCTGAAAAGACACTGTGAACATATTCTCTTTAGTATGCCTGTGGCAGAGGTCATAAGAATCTAACATGAACTTCTTTCCTGCCACTTTCACTACAATTTGCCAGGATTTCCAAAAGAAGAGTGTATTTAACATCTGTTCTCCCATAAATGTTTTGCTGAAGGTCTTTTTTTTGTCAGCACCTTCTCAGTCATTCCAAAAAAACACAAAACAAAACAAAACAAAAATTATACTTATGATAAGGCCACAATGTTACAGTTCTTTGTAAAATCTATTTAGGCTCCAATCCATTCATATGTGCTATATATTATAATGGCATGTATCATATATGATATACTATAGATCATATAGTATGTTATAAATAAATATTATATGTTTTTTATCATCTAACTACTTACATGTCTAACAATTTTTGTCCTAAAAAACAAAATAAGAAAAAAAAAGGCTTCGTATCTGGGTGGAAGGCATGGGGACAGAGTAGTAAAGGTAAAAAACTATTGCGTATACTCTGACATTCAATTATCTGTTGATATTACTTTTTTTTCTTTGTTAAAAGGCAAAGTTCATTGGGAGATGCTGGGGAGGAAGACCATTAAGAGATGAGTGTGGCATAAAAATAGAAGGCATCAATTCAATGTTTAAGAAAAAGCATATATTTTTATAGGAAAGTATAGAACAAATGTAAAAGATTATATTAATATCAAGTGTTACTATAACAAATGTTTGAGCCTATTGCATAATGTCTTTAAGCTTCTTCTTTTATTGTTATTTTCATCCCAAGGTATATAGACCTCTGTTGCTTCTAGATTGTCAATACAAAGTTATCAAACAGACCAAAGAAGTCAGTGATTGGAGTTATCCTGCTTTGAAATGCACTTCCTTTACATTTTCTCCACCTACTTAATCACATCCTGGAACAGTTGGGTAGCAGATAAATTGGCAGAAGTCTTTGCCCCCTCTGGCTAGATTGAACATAATAGAGTGAGCAGTTCTTCATGTTATGTGACAAAAGGCTGTGATAACTAGAACTATATTTTCAAAGCAAGGGGAAAAGGAAATAATTCACAAACACAATAAAGGCTTCCTTGTTTGTAAAAGTTGGACAGTGACAATGATGATAAATAATAACAATAATTTGCATTGCAATTTAAATGTATACTATGCACAGACTTATGATAACCTCAGTTCTTGGACAAGGGAGCTTATAGTTTATAACTTTTTAAAGTGGTGATGAAGTCTTCACATACATTAAACCATCAGCCAGCAGAAAATATAAGTATTGGAGAAAAGTGGAAAAATGGATTGTAATATGCAGGGCAAGACAATTCCCATTGCATATTTCAGAGTGTGCACTCTGACACCATAGTTGCTAACACTGGTAGTTGCTATGTATGCATATATTCTGTTATTTTAGTCATGTATGACTCTTCAGAAACCCACTGGGGCCTTTCATAGCAAAGATAATAGAATGGTTGGCCATTTCCTTCTCCATCTCAATTTACAGATGAGGAAATTGAGACATATAGGGATAAGTGACTTACCTAGGGTCACATGGCTAAAAAGCGTGTGAGGCCACATTTGAACTCAAGTCTTCCTGATTCCAAACCCAGCACTTTATAAATTGAGCCATCCAGTTGCCATATCGATAATTAATAACTGTCATTCTTTCTGCCTCCTCAATATCTTTCACATCTGTACTATTGTCTATATTC